TGGGGGTGAACCACTCACATCTCAAGTAGTATACCTGTTCCAGGCTTCCCCTAATCCAACAGCCACCACCACCACCAGCAACAACCAACCACAAAACCCCACTCCCCACCCAAAGAGCTTTTTTGCAGGGCTGCCAAGGCTCCATTTCTGTACAAGCCTTTATCCAGGCTAGAAGACAGCTGTGGTTTTGAATGGCCTTTGTTCAGGCTTGAGCTGACCAGTGGTGGAGTTGGCCTTTGTTCAGGCTTCAGCTATGGGGTGTGCTGGCCTTGTTCAGGCTTGAGCTGACAAGTGGTGGAATTGGCCTTTGTTCAGGCTTGTGTGCTGGCCTTTGTTCAGGCTTGAGCTGACAAGTGGTGGAATTGGCCTTGGTTCAGGCTTTAGGTATGGGGTGTGCTGGCCTTTGTTCAGGCTTGAGCTGTGCAGTGCTCACTCAGAAATCCTCAATGCCTCCATCATCAGCACCATCATGAGCAGCATCATCTCCTTTTTTGGGCTGCTCATTCTGGCCTTGTGCAGGCTGCTCATTCTGCCCTCCTGCAGGCTCAGGCTCCACTGCCTGCTCAGCATCTGCAGGCTTTGGTGCACTTTCTGCATTGGGCTTGGGCTTTTTGCCTTCTGGAACTGTCTCTTCTTTTGTAGCTGTTGGCTGGAATTGGCCTTGTTCAGGCTGGGCTGGTGTGCCTTGTGCAGGCTGAGCCCTCCTTGGTTTAGGAGGTTCTGGAGGTTTTGGTCTGTGCTGGCTTTTGCTTCTTGCCCTGCACTGCCTTGGTCCAGGCTCAAGGCCTCTTCTTGCCCTCTCCTGCCTTTCCATCGCCATGGCTTGCTGCTGCCACCTGTGAATTTCTCTTTTCATTTCTTTGTTCTCACAATTGGCAACCCAATCATAAGGCTCCAAATGCCTTGGTACAGGCTCACCCCTTTGAATCAGCCTTCTCCTTTCAAACCTTCTTTTGGCTGACACTGGGCCCCTGCTCAGCCACCTAGGGTTGCCCTCATACGGGCTTTCATTCCAATCTTGCCAATCAGCATAGCCCCTCCAATCTTCCCATTGGTCATCATCCCAATGGGAAGATTCATCCTCTGATGACCAATCATCCCAGTATTGCCACTGGGCCTTTCCAGGCTCAACCTTTGAGTACCTTGGCTGCCTTTGCTCAGGCTCTGGACTTGACCTCCAAGAAGAAGATCTGCCTTGTTCAGGCTCATTGCACCACCAACTAGAAGATCTGCCTTGCTCAGCCTGCCCATGGGACCTCCAAGAAGAAGATGTGCCTTGTTCAGGCTGGCCATGGGACCTCCAAGAAGAAGATGTGCCTTGTTCAGGCTGGTCATGGGACCTCCAAGAAGAAGATCTGCCTTGTTCAGGCTCTTGGTGACCAGAGCCTTGTCCAGGCTGATGCCTTACCCAACCTTCAGCCCACCTATCCCAGACAGGTGGGGCAGCATCAACTGACCAATCCCCAGTGTATCCACACTGTTGGGATTGGTGCTGTATAAATTGGCCTACTTCAGGCTCATCGAACTCCAGGCAATCCAGTTCTTGCTCTTGGTCATTGGTGAGCCTTGTCCAGGCTTGGGAATCCACATCCCACAACCACCTAGTGCCCCTGAACAGCCTCACCCTCCACCAGGGAAAGCTGCCTTGGACCCCTTCCAGGAGAGTTGCCTTCTGCAGGCTCAACACCACAATCAAGAGCAAGGCCTTGTTCAGGCTGGGCAGGTGGAACAAGAAAGCCATGGCCAAAGCAATCTGTCCTACCCTGGTTGTGCCCTATATAAGCTGTGTGTAAATCTATGAGCTGTGAAGTGTGTATGAAATGGAAGTGTGTATACATGTGATTTGCAAATGTCATGTGTGAGTCTGTGAAAGTTGAAAGTGTGGGCACCTGAAGTTTGAAGCATGAAGTGTTACAAAAATATGGCTGCATGAAGATATGTCTCTGTGGGTTTGTGTGTTTTTCATCGACATGATACACAAAACATGCATGTTGCACAGGCATGCATGGTGCTTCAAAGTGTGTCATTGGTGTGGAGTGTGTGTGTGGCATGGAGCTGTCTCGGTTTGTCATGGTAGAGTGTGTGTATGTGGTGTGTTGCTGTGTGTTGCTGTGCACATGTCCATGGGATTTGTGCATGCTTCTTGAGCCATCGGTTCATGAACCCCCTTTTAAACAGTGGCCCCCCAAAACACAAAACAGTTCTTTTAAACATGGCTGTGCCCTACCCTACATAGGCTCTTTTTTCAAAAACCACAGCGAGCAAGTGCTGAACTGTACAGTAAGGGCCTTAGTGCAGGCTGGAATCTAAAGCTGGCCTTCATGCAGGCTGTGCGAGCCAATGGTGCCTTGCTCAGGCTTCTCCCCAGTGGCCTTTGTGCTGTCTGTCCCTTGATCCTCACCAAGGGGTGCCTTTATGCAGGCTGTGCTGGCGAGTCCTTCAGCAGCTGATCTTTGTATGAGACCAGCTGCTTTTTCTCCAGGCTTGCCTCTTCGCAGGCTTTAGCCATAAGTGCAGACATGACTCTGTCTTGGTCAGGACCCCTAGGCAATTGCACATTCACCAGGCAAGTTGGCTTGCTGCCTTCTTCAGGCTTGGACACAATGTAAGCCTTGTTTGAAGTTTTGGTTTCCTTAACAAACCCAAAGGAAAGGCTCTTCTTCCAACATGCCTTGGCTTTGCTTGCTGCACTTGGCCTTTTGCAGGCTGGCACTTTCTTTGGCGCTTTTTTGCATGATGGCCTTTTTGCAGGCTCCAGATCTTGTTGTGACACTGCTGTGCTTGCAGCTGTACTTTCGATTTCCACCACCTCTTGGTCTGATGGTAGAATGGCAGCTGGGGATTCTAAAAAAGTGATAGGTGCTGGGCCTTGCTCAGGCTTCTCTTCTGCAGGCTGAAGGGCTTTCTTTTTTGGTGTCTTCTGGTTAAGCCTTCTCACTGGCCTTTCTGCAGGCTGTGGAGTGCCAAACAGACTTTGCATCAAACCCATCAATAGACCAGAGGTTTTTTCTCCAGTCTTGAGATTTTTCCATTTTCTTCTCAGAAAGTTTTTGCATTCATGAATTTGGTTCACGATCAACTTGCATTCTGATGTGGTCAATTTATGGTTGGCTTCTTTCATTGCTTGCCTTTCCACAGGCTTGCTCAAAGCCCCATGCTTGAACCACACACCCAAAAACAATGCATGCCTTGTGCAGGCTTCTTCAGGGTCAGCTGGCCACAGGTTTGCATTGCAAGAGTCAGGGAAGCCTTTTGCAAAGGCCACCAGCTTGCTGATATCTGCCTTTATTGCAGGCTGGGGGATGGGCAGCGTTGCTTCTCCTGACATCTATACCTAGCTTGCTTAAAGCCAAACAGCTGCAACATATCAAATATCTTGTTTCCAAGAAGCGCTTCTGGGAAGCCACAAAAAGTGGCTTCCCAGAAGCGCTTCTTGGAGGTGGTAACATGAGTTTGGGCAGAAGCCACATTTAGAAGTAGAATCTACTTTTCATGGCTGCCAGCCAGTTTTGAGAAGATAAGATTTGTGGCTGCCAGCCATGAATCCTAGCTGCCAGCCACAAATCTTATCTTCCAGCATTGGCTTCTAGGGGGCCAGAACCTTGGAAAGTGGCTGGCAGCCATGAAAAGTAGATTCTCGGATCCTTAGGGTTGCGCGCACACCCGGCAAATCGCACTCTCGCCTGCATTTCGCGCACTCGACACGCACGATCTCCGCAGAGGGTTGCGCGCGCAGCCGGCAGATCGCACTCTCGCCTGCATTTCGCGCACTCGACACGCACGATCTCCGCAGAGGGTTGCGCGCACATCCGGCAAATCGCACTCTCGCCTGCATTTCGCGCACTCCACACGCACGATCTCCGCAGAGGGTTGCACTTTCGGTTGACGCTGTTCGTCCCGCACTCCCTCTTTAAGAGAGAATTTATAAAGTGGGGAAATGTTTTTTCATTAGGACATCTCCCGTGCTAGTTTTCCATACTCACACTTGCCTGCTCATTGCATGCTTGCATGCTCATTGCATGCTTGCATACTCACCCTTGCATATCATTGCATACTCACCCTTGCATATCATGCTTGCATACTTACACTTGCATACTTTGACACTGGCATACTTCGCACTTGGATGCTTTCGCTCTTCCAGTGTGTGTGTGTGTGTAAGTGTGAGTGTCGAAGTGTAAGTGTGTCAGTGTGAGTGTCGAAGTGTAAGTGTCGAAGTGTCAGTGTTCAAAGGATTTTCCGGAAGAACCCTTCGCAATGCTTTCGGGAAAAAGTGTTCATGCCTTGAAAAAGCGTACCACTGGAAAGTCAGATGTAGCTTCATTCCACCTTATGTGGTCTTCAAGTCCATTCCCCTGCCACATGCTGGCACCCATCCCATGCACACACAACACACGCTCACACACTACGAAGCGGCAGCCAGCAACCCCTTTCTTTGATCATCAGAATCAACATAACATATTTACTGTAAGTAAAATAACAATCCGCCACTTTTTAAAATAGCGCCCGGGTTGCGGGAATTTGCGCCCGGGTTGCGGGAATTTGCGCCCAAGTTGCGGGCATCCTTTTTGGAAAAATTGTTGTAAAGCACGCCCAGAAGGTTGGAACCAAACCTTTGTGGTTTCATTTGCACATACTACTAGTAGGAGGTCATATAGAATTTCCACCCGGTCCATAGGGCCCCCAAAGGCCCACAAGGGTTGATAAGGACACTGGTCAGGAACCAGTAGGCTTTAGAATTTACATCACCAAAAAGCGCTCATATGTCCTGAAAAGTGTACATACCCTCAATTAACGCTCAAACTTCCAATAAGTGCTCCAAACCATGGTTCGCCAGAAATAAGTGCTACAAAGGATGCTTCAGGTAGGCAAATATGGCAGTCCCATGGAGTGATATGGAGTGCTTGGGTTATTGATGGCTATTGTTATACATGCTTCCAGCAGAAGTGGATCCATTGGCACCGATTGGCACCGCTCTCCGAGCGTCGGCGTCGGCGTCGCAGGAGCTGGTCTTCTCCGGCCTTTTCGGTGACGAGGGCTCTGCGCGGATTTGCCCGCTGAACGACCGAGAGGAGCTCAAGGAAGGCGGGCTTCCGCCGCCACGCCGGAATTCGGCGCGTGAGGTTTGGGGCCGGAAGTGTGAGTTTGAATGGCAAGAAGCCACACGCCCCATCCGGGATCCAATCACCTTCTGTACGGTACGGTGAGGACGGAGACTGTTGTGTATGTGCCCAAGTTCCGTCGGGTCAGTCCAGTGGATCCGGACGTCTGACCCACACACGCTCCTTGAAGGGTCTGGTGGCCCTCGCAGTCCGGTTTTGAGGGACCGGAAGGGCCGTTTTTCGCAGCGTCGGACGAGGGTCAGTGAATGTCCAGACATAGAGAGAGAGGATTCAGGGTCCACGAAGCGAAGATTCAGTAGCCGGGTAGCTCATCAAGCTCGGATCCAGATGTACCTTCTCAGAAGGTTACGTGGACCCTACAAACTAAACAGATCATAAGCTAGTGGTCTCCCTCCGCACCGTACCAGCGAAAACGGACGGATCCCGTTCCGACGGGAGATGTGAGGACGGCGAAGACGGCCCGACCGGTTCGGCCGGTCTGTTGTGAAGGCCCAACTGTCCAGTTCGAGATTTGGACCGACTGAAGTCAGGACATTCCTGAACTCGAATCACCGGTCGTCCGACCATTCTTTTTGTCTTTGACTCGCAGGGAAGGTCGGTTTCACGACCCTCCGGCCGTACGAGTCCATCCGTGTACGCTGGAGCGTACCGGCCGGTACTACGAGTCCAGCGGGCCCAACACTGACAGAAGACGCCCGGTTCGCAACACCAGTCGGTGGCGTGAAACGGGACACGCCGCTGCCAAGATGGCCCCAAGGATCTACAAAACTCTCCATTTGGATCGTAAAGCCTCTTACATGCGATCTTCCAACTATGCCAAATCTTTGCCTTTTCATTCACATAACCAGTCCAAATTCAGACATGTTGCGTTGGAAGATCCAGGCCTGGGGGGCCCGATTCCTCAAGAGTCCATTGGGCATAGTCTTAGTGCTTCGACCGAACACGGCCTATCCACCGACCGAACACGGTCAGAGTCCCACCGACTTCGCGAACGACGGTTGAAACACCGACCGACCTCGACCGGACTCCGGCAGGTTTAAAAGCGTTGGACCAGGAGATGACGGATCTTGCTCAGGCGGGGCTTCTTCATCCGTACGTAGGGAGTTTTACAGGGCCGGTGAAGCTGCGTATGAAGCTGCGTATGAAGCGGCTGAAAAACAGTTCAAGCATGTACTCATGGGCATGATGTGACCTC